CTGTAAATATGGTGAATTTGTACTATTAAACAATTAAGTATGGCCATTTTAACATCAATCTGTATCATGGAGTGTATCAATTTAACTGGTATTAAATCACCTAAACAACTCTAGAAACCAAGCCATTTTTAATTTATTTTGTTTTCTGAAATTCATGAACGGTGTATATTACTATGCTATCTTAAAAAGAAACCTAATAGCCTATTATTGTGCCTATTATAGTCATAATAAGAAGATGGAATTGTTATTGTCGTGATGGAATAGACAAATAACTTGATTTGCGTCAAGAGAAACATATATAGGTGTAATTTTGCCCTACCTGACATGTAAATTTACTGAATATTCAGTACGTTTGAAAACATTTGGGAAAAAAAATAAATTCCAAGTTGTTCTCGGGTGGGACTCGCACCCACAATTTCCAGATCACTGTTTACTAAGTATTTAGTACATTTACACGTCAGGTAGGGCAAAATTACACCTATACATAATAATTTAGAAGCCTATACAAATGCACAACAATTGACCATTAGCCATTTTTGCAATTTTTAGTAAACTTATTTTTTTTATAAGACATCATTTACAGATCATTAGAACATGATCTCAGGGTGGTGAAAATAAATCCTTCGCAATATCGGCTTTATTAATGTGATTAGCGAAATTGAAGTTTAATTAGCACAGAAACAGACTGATTGAAAATATTTAGCCATAACTAGTTCACTATTAGCCTATCTAGACTAGCTTAGTTTATAAAATTGTGGGAAGTCTGTGCAACATGTTTTTTTTTAAATTATTCATGGTATATTTTATTCAAAACGATACAAAAAGGAGAAAGCAATTGACAAAAAGTGAATTGTAGCCAAGACTAAATTGCTCACAATTTACAATCAATTAAAAATTAAGAAAAAGGCATTAAAAATTCACAAACATTAAAAAATTTTAAAGAGAATATAAAAATATATAATATATTGAGAAAAAAAAAAGGGATAACAATAAAGACAACAGGATAAAAATACAAATTTACAAACTCGTGTAAAAATCAATTAAATAAATATTGCAATAATTATAAATAAAAATGACCATAAAATTGAGTGATCAGGATGAGTAGGACAAATCAAATAACAAATTTGTTTTTCTTTTAGGAATCATGATATTGTTGCTTCGTTTCAAATTAAATCTTTTCTCGACATCAAGTTAATTATTATTGTTATTGTTATAATTATATTAATTGTTATTAATTGTTATATTATCGAATTGAGTAATCTTGTGAAGTACGGGATAGGACTATTCTTATATCTATTCGTTTCGCTTTTATTTTTAACAGTAGGTTAAACAAACTGATTTTTTAGATACAAACTATTACAATTATAATAATTAATAAAATTTCTAAATGTAAAGATATTTATAGCAAATGGTAGTCAATTAGGTATTGGCATATTATCTGTTTGTTTTCCATTTTGATAACACAATATGCATTTTTATAATAATTTATATATGCCTATTATGGTTATATAGACAGGATTTTTGCATTTATTTATACATTTTGAAAAGGTATATATATATATATATATATATACACACACACACACACACACACACTAATTTCAG